TTTTCATCTCCTTGTGTTTCCATCTAATGTTGATTGTTTGGTTCGATTGTGTTCAATCCTTATTGGAAATGAATAGTTCGTGTGCTGTTGTGATAAGATATGTTGTGGGTAGCCGTATGGCGTGAATCCTAGATTGTGGAATCAATTATGGAAATGTGATTTTTTGACAAATATATGCATTGTTTAAATTACTTAAAAAGTGCATGATGAATGTGATTGCGTTCGTTGTCGTTGGCGCGATATTGTGAATGCATAATAATTGTATGCGATTGTATGTGAAGAATGCATGAGAACATATTGTGAATATGTGTGCATTGCTTGATAAATGTGGTGATGGTATTGAATTGTGAATGCATAATAATTGTATGCAATTGTATGTGAAGGATGCATGAAAATATATTGTGAATATATGTGCATTGCTTGGTAAATGTGATGATGATGTTGAAAACATGTATATGTGTAAGGATCGTAATCACTGGGGTAAAATAATAAGATGTTGTTCCTAGTGGAGTAATCACTGGGGTAGAATAACAAGATGTTGTTCCTAGTGGAGTAATCATTGGGGTAGAATAACAAAATGTTGTTCCTAGTGGAGTAATCACTGGGGTAGAATGATAAATGTTGTTCCTAGTGAGGTATAATGACATGGTCGTATACACTGGGGTAGAATGACTAAGATGTCATTCCTAGTGGAACAATCACGGGGGTAGAATAACTGAGATGTTGTTCCTGGTGGGGTATAAATGATGTACCCATAATCCCAAATAGGGATTGGTGAGAATTGATGAGTTTTATATGAGTCACATGGCATAGATATCATTGTTATATGAAAGTATGCTTGTGTGTGAATTGTTGAATTGAGAACTTTAGATATATGCATAATAAATATGCTTGGTGTTATATATATATATATATATATATATATATATATATATATATATATATATATATATATATATATATATATATATATATATATATATATATATATATATATATGTGTGTGTGTGTGTGTGTGTGTGTGTGTGTGTGTGTGTGTGTGTGTGTGTGTGTGTGTGTGTGTGTGTGTGTGTGTGTGTGTGTGTGTGTGTGTGTGTGCGTGTGTGTGTGTGTGTATGCGTGTGCGTGTGTGTGTGTGTGTGTGTGTGTGCGTGTGTATATATACTTTATGATAAATTGTGATGAATAAACATAATTGTAAATGTTTATGTGGAATGATGTGAATTGTGGATATATGCATGATAAATATGCTTGGTGTTATATATATATATATATATATATATATATATATATATATATATATATATATATATATATATATATATATATATATATATATATATATATATATATATATATATATATGTGTGTGTGTGTGTGTGTGTGTGTGTGTGTGTGTGTGTGTGTGTGTGTGTGTGTGTGTGTGTGTGTGTGTGTGTATACTTTGTGATGAATTATGGTGAAGAAACATGGATGTGTATGTTTGTGTACAATGATGTCAATTGTGAATAGAACCGCAGTGTATGCATATTTTTATGAGTGGATTATGATAAAATGTGGTGAGATCGTAGTGTATGCATATTTTTATGTTAATGTACATATATGATTATATGCATTGTTATTATGATAATATTTCTCACCCTTCTGCTGGAATAATGTCCTATCTGACATCGTGCAGGTATCGAGAATAGAGCTGCTCGTAGTTGCATGGTCGTTGTTGGTGTAGCTATTTAGTAACTTAGTTATATTGGGTCGAGTCATGCTCTGGTCATGTAACACTGAGATCGTTTGGTTATATTTTAGAGATACATTGTGTACTCTATGTTATGTTTGTATATTCATTGGAATATTGTGATGTTGGCCTTAATGTCTAAGAAATGTTGAATTATATGATGAACATGATTATTATGTTAAGAGAATTATGATATAAATTGAATCCGCTGCTACACGCAAAAAGGAAACTTTGAAAATCATGATTATTTATTGAAGTGTTAATGAGCATGACAAATGGTTTTTGATGTTTGAAAGTTAAGTGTGACGCTCTTTTATGAATGCATGATTATCTACTCTGATTATTCATATATTTTCCGTGGGGGTTAGAAGGGTGTTACAGCCTCCATTGTTGGCTCTTTGGAGCTTTTTCACTTTCCTTTCTTCTTCTTCTTCTTCTTCTTCTTCTTCTTCGCATGGTCGTTCATATTCTTCCATGTATGCATTTTACATGAAACCAATAAAAGCCAATGACTTTACAATAAACCTGCAAAAGTGGTGCGTCCAGGTAAATAGAACCGCAGAAGAGTTTGCAATATTGAAATGAATTCGTAAAACACAAAATGAATACTACATAAGAAAAACAATATAAACCAGAAAAAACTGAGAAGTAAATCTCAAACTTTTCAAATGCAATAACAATAGTACTTACTTAAAATATTTAAGGCCAGCAGCAAGGTGACCAACAAACCCCATAACAAGTCTGTGAAAATAATAACCTTTACAATACCAAAGAAATATAACAGTTGTATAATCTAAGTTTGTAATACATAAATTAAATCCCATACATATAAATCTCAAAAAGAAGAAATTTCGCATAAGAAAATCTCATCAATACAATCAAATACCTTACAAAATCCTAAACACGAATATGTGATTTGAAGCCCTAAATTAGAAAAATTACTTGTTTGACGAAGATGACCGGAAAATAGATCTTCATCTTTTTCGTTTGAAATCCAATCCACAATCCAAAAGTGACAAATCCATTAATATGAATCAAAACAGTGAAAACCTCAAAAACTAAGAATAAATCACAAAACAAACCAAACACTGTTTCTGAGCCTTCTTTTGTTATGACTATTTCCTCATTCCTGCAACACCAAAAATCTTGGGTAAAAAAAAACTAACATAAACCCTAAAAAAATTGATTTCTCTATTTATGTAAATCGTTCCAAAATAAACAGTTATTTTTGTTAAAGAAAAGAAAGAGAAAAAGAAGGATAAAAAGACAAAGGCAGAGGAAGACAAAACATGAAGAAATAGGAGGAAGGAGGAGAGAGTAAAAGGACAACCGTCGTTGTTGAATAAGGAGAGAGAAAAGGCTAAATGGAACTCTGAAAAGACAAAAAAATATTTTTCAATTGATTTCAGTTTGAGAAAAATAAACATTTGGTCTCAAAGTAATTCTAATTGGTACAAATATAAGTGTAAAGTAAATACAATCAATACATATGAAACCGAAAAGTACAACCAAATTGTAAAAATAAGTTAAATTTAACCAATTTATAAAAATAATTAGAAAAAGTAAATTTTAAACTCATTTTATCCCAAAATTCAATAAGTAGTAATTTAGAAAGAAGGAGCAAAATTGATTTTTCCATGACATTAACTTTTCTTAGTGCATTCACATCCATTATACTCATTTGTGTTCTTTAAATAGGTCCCACTTATTTTTTTTACATTATATTACACTTTTAAATTATTTAAACAACTCAACTACATTTTCCAAATATCCATACAACTCATAAAATTTATAAAATGGGTCTCACTAAATACCACAGATATCTTATATTAAATCTTTTTACAATCACTTCTAATTAAATAATTAATTAAATGCACACGTGACACTTGTAGGAACGTTGTTTAATGTGACAACAGTTGCAAATTAAAGAACGATGTTATTATGCAATTATCCATCATTTTCTGACATAATCACTTTAGTAATAGTGTAGAAATCATATATTTGTACCGATAATTATACTCTTATATTATAGATTTAAAAAAATAGGTCTTTGCGTTTAATGATACAAAATATATAGTTAAGTAAGTCATTTTGAGAAAGAGCTTACAATATGTTAATGAAATAATTTTATTGGTGAGTTTCAATTGCCACGGATCTCCATCCCAATGCCAATTCCCCGATGACGTACAACCATAGATAACTACTTCTATCAACGATCATCATTTCCCCTAATTTTCTAATTTCTAATTTATTTAATTTCCCGCTTTTCCCTCATTCTTCCCCTCCCATATATTTACCCAAACACTCCCATCCATTTCATAGCATCTCAATTCTCAATTAACAAATCAAAACTATATTTTTCATTCCGATCGAAATGGCTCGTACCAAGCAAACCGCTCGCAAATCCACCGGAGGCAAAGCTCCAAGGAAACAATTAGCTACCAAAGCCGCTCGGAAATCTGCTCCGGCCACCGGAGGAGTTAAGAAGCCTCACAGATTCCGTCCAGGAACCGTTGCTTTAAGAGAGATCAGGAAGTATCAGAAGAGCACAGAGCTTCTAATCCGGAAACTTCCATTCCAAAGATTGGTTAGAGAAATCGCTCAGGATTTCAAAACAGATCTCCGATTCCAAAGCAGTGCCGTTTCTGCTCTTCAAGAAGCCGCTGAAGCCTATCTTGTTGGTTTGTTTGAAGACACGAACCTTTGTGCGATTCATGCAAAGAGAGTTACTATTATGCCAAAGGATATTCAACTCGCTCGCAGAATCAGAGGCGAGAGGGCTTAGATTTATGTTTTGATTCTAGTTAGGTGTTGCTCTGTTAGGGTTTGGTTCATCTGTTATGAATCTTAATGCTCAATCTACTATGTATGTTCATTGATTAAATCTTTTCCAATTTGATATTTAGTGTTTGTTGAGTTTAATTATATTATCTTAATTTTCAGACTGCAATTCTGTTTCGACTTGTGAACATTTTGTTGACTACCATAGTTCAACCAAAACTGTGCAAAAAATGTTCAAATTAGAGTATAGAGAACACAAGCGATCATTTGTTTGATTAATTCTATAAGTTTGTTTTTAGGGAACTAATGATGAGGACCACTGTTATCTAATGTAATTTTAACAGACAAATAGAATTATGGTTACTAATAGACATAACCAAAAATCTAGTTTTAGAAATGATCAAAGAGTATCTCAATGAATATAAGACTTGCCAAAATACTATTGAATAAAATTATATATCTCTTCCAGGATTTTTTAACTTTCTTCTTATAGAGCTCCACAATTATAGCGCGAATGCCCATCCGGACCTCTAAACAGAACAAACATCATTGCAAAAACTACAAATCTAAATATACATGATTTTGTATCGAGTCTTTTCCCAACAAGAAAAGTATTCAAAGAGAGCCAAAATATTCTCATCCTCCTTTCTTTTGCATATTTATCTAATGCTTCCTCTACAACATTTCTCTCAACTACCGCCTCAGTTGTATTATTCATCTTCTCTGCTAGACATCTAGCAAGAACAATTGCATCTTCAATGGAAGCCGAACCACCCTGTGCCACGAACGGACCAGTGGCATGCATTGCGTCACCAGCAACCACTATTGTTCCTTTATTGAATCTGTTAAGAAGTAAATCCCAAGGTGGACGATACTTCAAGTCAGTCAGATGCAAAGAGCTCAACTTGCAACTTTGTATCATGTCCACTACGGGTATTGGAAAACCCTTCACTGATTCCATTAATGATCGTCTGATAAGAACTGGATCTTTTGAAATTATTGAATCTTGAGAAGTGCCGAGCCTTGTTATAAACCAGTAAACAAGTTTGTCAGTAATCGGGATCCTTCCGAGTTGAACTTGACCTCTGCTTATCATAACAAACTCACTAGGAAAATGATGATCATTTTGGTACTTTGTGAAGCCTCGTGCAACGCATGTAGAGAAACGCAAGAGCTTTGTCGTGTGTAGCGCAACCATATTTGCAACGATAGAATTGACACCATCACATCCGATTACAACCTGATACGCCCAAAAAAGAGAAAATAGAAATGTAAATCACAAAATGTACATGATACTTGTTTACGCAGTTCGGTCAAAAGTGTCTCTACGCTACCTTAGCTTGAAGGATACTTCCATTGCTAAGCAAAAGCTGTGGATATTTTGTTACAGGATCTAATTCTATGGAAAGTACTTGACAACCGGTACATATAGTTTCCTGTGGCAAACAATTGGCCATGGCTTTGATCAAATCAGTGCGCTTTAAGCACCGAAATTCTCCATTAATACTGTTTAACAAAATCAAGTTAGCTATTAACAATGATAATGTTACACATGATTTCTATTCTAGTTCACTATACAGAAAAATTGTGTTGCGTTAACTTACCCAAATGGTGCTTCTTTTGACTCATTCTCGCTAACTGATATCAATTTTCCCCTAATAATTATTAATATAGCAAGTTTAGTTATCATCCGCAAATACACTCTTAAGTATCTCGAATGTGTCTTTCGATAATTATTTTGACATTTTAATATAATATTTAATCACATTCTACTCATTTTCAGTCGAACCGCAGATAGTTAGTTCTTTTAAAAATCGGAGGGATAAAATGAAAAAAAAAACCCTAGTAAAGAATTAAAGTTACCCATGTATTTGAATGGCAGTTTGTCTAAGTATTGAGCCAACACCAAGCTGATCAAGTGCATGCCATCCATTAGCTTGCACAATTATAGCTGCTCCTGTTGCTCTCAACTCTTCTGATTTTTCTAACACCAAACTTTTTATTCTCTTCCTGCAAAGTTAATCAAAATGAAAAATCTTAGTTCAATTTATATATATGATATCAAAGTTTTATGTAACCATAAATATATATTTGGCTTGAATGATACAAAAAAACCTATGGAGTGCTAGGGCTGTTGCAAGACCACATATACCACCTCCAACTATCACAATCTTATTATCAACAAGAGTTATCTTCATAGCCTGGCGTTTTCAAAGAGAAAAATTTTCAAGAAAATAAATTGTGCGTTTGTTTAAATGTTTATTTGTAGTTAGTTTAACTGTAAATGTATTTATATGATGGAAAAAAACAAGAAAGTGATCTCATCAACCAACCGTGTATACTTTGCATGATCTTGGGTGAATGGAATAAAAAAACATTATTTATTTATTTTATTCCAACAATGTCTATTTGGTTTTTGAGTTGTTGGAGCACACTATATACACACAAGGAACCAGGTGAAAGGAAACAAATGTTAACAATCGTTACTATAGACTGGTTCAATTTAACATGTTAATAATATTGAGTTTTGAATGTGTAATTGCAAGAGTTGACATGCCGTTAAATAGTAGACAATTGCATTTTCGAGAGTGTAATTGGTTACTCGATTTAGTGTAACTGATTACTATTGTAAGTGAATTAATTGTTAAGTTAATTAGCTACAGGTGTAATAGATTATCGATTTTGGCGTAATCGGTTATAAGTCCGTGTTTTTGAATTTTCTGCTTCTGTACTTGATCATATTGTATAAAATTTGCGTTGTAACCTCTATATAAGTGTGATGAGTGCATTCTCACTCAAACTAATGATAATTTCTGCATTCTCACCCTCAACTCTCTCTCTCTCTCTCTCTCTCTCTCTCTCTCTCTCTCTCTCTCTCTCTCTCTCTCTCCACTTTCAAAATTTCTCCAAACTTAGTTTCGCCAATCTTGTAGTTGCTTGTTCCAACATTTGGCATCATAGAGCCTGGTACAGATCCACAAACATCTTGTGTGCAACATGAATTCTGTCTCCAATGAAAGAATCCCTGCAAATTTACCCATCAATGATGCGAAGAACTACAACAAGTGGTGCAAGCAAATGAAAGTGTTGTTTGGCTACCCAGATGTTCTTGAGGTGATCAAGAATGATGTTACTCCTTTCCAAGCTAATGCAACAGAAGAGCAACAAGCAACACATAAGGAAGAAAAGAAAGAAGACTTCAAAGTGTTATTCTTGATTCATAAATGTGTTGATGACGACAATTTTGAGAAAGTTGGCGATTGCGAATCATCGAAGCAAGCATGAAAGATCTTAGAGAAAGTTTATGCAGTGTCTGACAAGACGAAGGTGGTGAGGTTACAAACTCACAAATGACAACTTGAATTAATTCAAATGGAAGAGAAGGAGACAATTAATGATTTTGTAACGAGAATCACTCGTTTGGTGAACCAAGTGAAGGCATGCATAGAAACCATTATGGGGCAGTATATTGTGGCTAAAATCTTTTGTTTTTTAATACCAAGATTCGACAACATAGTTGTTGCGATTGAGGAGTCGAAGGATCTTGTGATGATGAGCAAAGAGGAGTTACAAATTTTTTTTTAGGCTCATGAACAAAGGATGGAAGAGAGGAACAACGATAAGGTAAAGGTAGAGATTGCTTTGCAAGCTCGTTTCAATGAGAAAGAAAACAATTCGAAAGGAAAATGGTCCGCGAAGAACAAAGGAAATTTTCAGAATTTTAGTGGAAAAGAGTCTCAGAATTTAAGAAATTTGACAAGTCAAAGGGATGAGAGTAGCTACAACAAAAATGGTGGTCAAGACAACTATAGAGGTGAAAGAAGGAGATTTGACAAGAGCAAGGAGCAGTGCTACACGTGTCAATGATTTAATCATTATGCGAAAAATGCAATGCGAATAAGAAGGAATCTCAAAGGGATAAAACCAAGGTTGCAATACAAGAGTTTGATGAAGAGAATACACTCTAGGTCATGATCACAAAAGCGAATTGCAGTTTTAAACAGGTGTGGGACAACAACTACAATAACTCAAAGAATGCAGAAAAGTTGGGCTGTAGCCAGTTAAATGATACGATTGACCGATTGCTTAAAGATGAAGACGTCATGATGAGTGTGAAATAAGTTCAATACAGTAAGGAGTGATATTGGGACTCGATTTCTTCAAATCATATGGCAGGAAGAAATGAATGGTTTGTCAAAATCAATCGTGTCATGAAGAACAAATTAAAGTTCGCGGACTCTAATAGCCGATAGGATCAGTGATGTTTTGATCATGAGGAGGGACAATGGACATTCCTTGATCAAATATGTCTTGTATATTCCTGGAATCAAGTGTAATCTTACCAATTACTTGATAAAAATTACAAGATTCATATTGAAAACAAGGGGTTGCACGTTATGGATGCAAAATGAGGTTTGGTCCTTAAAGCGCATATGACTATAAATAGAAATTTCAGGGTTGAGTTGAAGGTTATGGAGCATAAATGTCTTACTACTGCAGTATTTCGTAAAGAGTGGGTGTTACACTATCGTCTTGGACATCTCAATTTTAGATATCTCAAGGAGTTGCAAACGAACATAATGGTAACGGGGCTGCCAACAATCAAAATTTCTGTTCCAGACTGGCCCAATGGCTAGGCATGACCCAATTCACTTCTGCTCGCAGAACGACCCAATTGCCTAAGTCCAACCAAATTGGGGTAGCATTTAAACTTCTTCCCCTCCACCAGGGGAGGTTGACCGATTTACCCCTAGGCCAACACTTCTCCTCGTCAGTCCTTACCCATCACACACGGTCCCACCATCCAGAAACCATCACGATGCTTGTGCCCGTTACTGCGCCTCTGCCCGTAGAAATGGCTAGTTATGGCCACCTCTGTGTTAGCTCACAAATTCGACACCTCATATGGATTAAAATATTTAAATAAAATATTAAAGTCCTTTAGGGGTAAAAAGGGTCTTTTGAGAGCCTTAGGATCTTCGAAGGGGGAAGCCAAGTAATGAGGGACTTAGAGAAAATTTTGAACTTTAAAGAAGATGACCTTCGACCGAGATGTTGGTTAGGGATTCTAGAGTGAATATTTGAAATTCAAATAATGGAGGGAGTAGTTATACTTTCTTGTGGCTAAGAGGGACAAGTGGCGTTCGTTAGATAAAGGACTTCATGCGTTGTGACACTTGTCGGAAGATGATGGGCTTAGGAAGTTATTGTTAGTTACTTTTACTATTATAAATAGGAGTCTTAGACATAGAATTCAGTGTGTTGTAATTTACTATTTGTGCAAGTCACTCCTAAGTTTACTCAAAGTATCCGAGTGTAGAGAAAAGAGTATCAAGGAGAATGTACGTTATGTAAACACACCATTTTACTTTTTAATGAAGTTTACTTTATTTGCTTAACTTTACAAAGTTTTCTTTACTTTTCTTGCAACCTCTCTCTTTTCTATGCACTTTACTTTATCTTCGTCCTCAATCCTTTTCTAAGACTTCTATCCCTTTCTATCTAAAACTCTATCTTCTATTTCCTTTCAGTCGAACATGCAATCTTATTATTTAAACCTTGTACCACAAAACTGTCGAAGTGTGCAACTTGGATAGATTTCAAAACATAATATTTTAGTACATGTCCTAGGATCAATCTGATCGATCTTGTGAGTCACCAAAGTTAGATTTAGAAGATCATCGGTTGTTTTCCATTTTTCAAGGGAAACAAAATGGCACGCCCAGTGGGACAGTGCTAAAAGATTTGTTTTTTTAGTATTTGCGAAAATACATAAAAAACTACAGTCTAGTTCGTCTTTCGTGAAAAGTTCGTTATATGTTACTAAGAAGTGGCAAAATTGCCACTATAAACGAAGAAAAACCAAGAATAAACTATATTAGGGACATGGAGACAGATAAAAATAAACCAAACAACCCTAATTCTCGAGGAGATGGCTCTAACTCTCATCCTAGCACCATCAATCCTCACGAAGGGTCGAGAAATGATGTGATCCCACCCGCAATACCTTCGACCGGAGAGCAAATACTGCCTCCTGCAAGAGTGGAACCAGTACCACCAGTATTAGGGCTTGGCTCGACAAGCGTGAGGATGTATACTCAACCGGTGTTAGAATATGTAGGACCTCAAGCGTTGAATCCCCAAACTCCGCCAGGAGGAAATTCGACGTCCAGGCAGTTTGTTCCTCCAGGATTTTCACAACTGTTACCTAGGAATCCTCCATATGGAATGCCAACAACTGTGATGCAAGGGTTCCAAAATGCTCCCCCAATTTTCTCGGACAATGCAATGGCTTCGCCATTACAAGCATCGGGGTTTGGGTTGAACATTGGTCGAAACCACCATAGTCTAAGTTTGGGGTATTCTACACAAGGCCCCAACTTAACCAATACTTCGGTTGCTTGTTTAAGAAAACAAATGGATGAAAGCAACTTACAAATGGTTCAAACTTTGTCCCAGACCATGGGTGAAATCTTTCAACCATTAATCCAAAACACCACCCAAACCAATCAACAGTTAACAGCGCAGTTGACACGACTGGCTAAATTTATGGGAGTCCCTCCTGCTGCTAGGAACCAGGACCCAGTGGAAAACCTGCCACGACGGGATTTAGGGAACCCAAATGAGCCCAATCTAGAGAATCAAGGGAGAGTCGAACTCCCCAAGCTCAAACCAAATAGAGTCGAACCACTAAGGGATCAGGTACCAATCCTAGAGGAAAGAAACCCAGGAGTAATCATAGTAAACTGTAACCAGGACGCAGACAATGTTGTCCAACAAGTTCGACAGAATAATATAGCCGTCGATAACAACTTAGCAGCCATGGTTGAAAGGATAATGACTTGAAATGGTGTGAACACTGGGTTCACTAGGCCAAACTATACATCTCCGATAGTGGATTATATCCTTCAAGCAGAATTACCTCCTAGAACGAAGGTGCCAAAATTTACTAAGTTCTCAGGGGATACGACAGAATCTACTGTCGAACATGTGGCTCGTTATATAATCGAAGCCAGAGAGATAGCCAACGATGAGAGCCTTAGAGTAAAATACTTCCCAAGTTCTCTCACTAAAAATGCCTTCACTTGGTTTACGACGTTTCCCCCTAATTCGGTTTGTAGTTGGACCCAGTTAGAACGTCTATTCCACGAACAATTTTATATGGGACAAACCAAAATTAGTCTAAAGGAATTGGCTA